ATTCCTGACCTGGCCAGGGGAGTAGATCAGAAGACCTCCAAGGTCTCCTCCAATCCTAGGATTGTACGAAAACAACTTTAAAACACTAACAACTTACAGAAATACAAAAGTTAAAAATCATAGCAGCTAACCCAGGACAAAACAGCCAAGGAGAATAAAAACATCTCTGTCCCTAAGAAGATGACACGGGCAGCAGCAGATGAACATTATTAGGAGGGCATTCGAAAGTCAGGGGGCAGTCAATGCCTGAAACCCCCTCAGTCACCCGAGCAGGCATTCCCAAGATTATCATAAAGTATAGATAAAAATATATGCAAACAGGCATTCCTTCAGATACTGTGGTCCCAGATCTTATAGGCTAGAACAAGCACCTTGAATTAGGACCAGGACCAAACTGGAAGCCAGAAAAGACCACAAAAAGCTGGCGTAGTATGTCCAGTCCTCTGCCACAGCATTTCATTCTAACTAGTTTCTGAACTATCGTCAAGGGCAGCCCCATGCGTCCTGCACTGCAGTAATCTAAGCAAGACAAAACCAGGGCAATGATTCCTGGAGCAAGCTATCTCTATCCAAAGAGAACTGAGGCTGGCCACTTGCCCACTTCCTGCAGAGCCACTTGCGTCTCTAATGTCAAAGACAGAAAAGAGAAGTGCCCTCGGCTAGGAATCAGACCCCATCCAGAACAGGTTGAATTCCCCTAGCCAGTAACAGCTCTTCTGTCCGGTCTGGATTGAGTTTCAGTTGATTGGCCCTCACCCAGTCCATTACGACAGCCAGGGACGGGCTCAGAAGTTCTAGATCTGACAAACAGGAGAGAAGGAGATGAGTGTCATCAAAATACCAAGGACATTTTACCCCACATCTCCCTCCCATAAAGCACTTTCATGCAGATACTGAAAAACATGGGGGATGAAGTGGAATTTTTGGTACCCACATTATACAGGGAGTCGTCAGTTAATGACTGCCCTGTTTAGTGACCATCCAAAATTACAATAGCACTGAAAAAGTAACTTTACAACTGGTCCTCAAACTTATGACCGTTGCAGCATTCCCCCCAATCACATGATCACAATTCAGGCGATTTGCCATCTACGGGCATTTACGACTGATGCAATGTCCCGTTAGTCACGTGATAGCTATTTGCGAGCTCCACAGCCAGCTTCCAACAAGCAAAGTCAATGGAGAAGCTGGCAGTAAAATCACAAGTTGTGGTCATGTGATGTCTCACTTAACAACCATGGGTAATTTGCTTGACAACCACAGTGGAACTGAAGTCATAAATCTGGTATGGTCATGTGATGTTTCGCTTAATGACCATGTCACTTAGGGATTGAGCTGTTCATCCCAATTGTGATAATTATGTGAGGACTACCTGTAATGCCATGGTTTTGAGCAGAAATCCTCCAGCATCACCTTCTAGAGTGTCAGTGGAAACATTTCAAGGCTCTTTCACCCCACCTCACTTGGACAAGCTCTCCAGAATGACAGTGTAATCAGCACTCCCTCGTATCTTAGACTTCCAGGGAAGCAATGGCAGATTGAGGATGGCTCCGCGTGAGCGAAGCTGATAGCCACGGCACAAATAGGAATTGGTGAAGGGATCAGCTCCTCAGAACCCTTCTCTGGATCAAGGAGAGGATTAGGATCACCCACAAGTTTGCTCCATACAGAGACTCACCCGTGAAGACACCACAAAATAGTGATCTCTGCTGGGTTTGAGAGCTCTGGGAGCCAGGGGGAAATGAATCTTGCCAAAGCTGCAGTTCGGCACCTTCAAATGGACACTGGGTTCACCTACTTCCTCTCTTAAGTATTTTAGGAAATTACTTATTATCAAGCTTTTGGATGTTAAGAACCTTCTAAAGGGCAAGTTTTGCCACACTGGGAAAGCTTCCTTCTACCCTGGATGAAAGAAGTTTTATGTTAAGTTTAAAGATTAAATAGAATTTTTTTTAATTTGGGGGAAACAGCAAGAGTGTCTAGAATGTTGATTTTGGAAAGTTAAGGGGCCAGATGGAATTGAAAGAATATTTCCTGTGGGTTGATTAAAATTTTATAAAAGTAAATATGAAGATTTTGAAATTAACTGTAAGAAATCCCCCCTCGGGAAAGTTTTGCTGACTGGAGAATAAACATGATAAAAGGGGACTTTAAAGGTTGACTAGAGGGAACCAGAGAGAACTAAAGATTACAATTAAAGGAGAGGAGACCTATTAATAAAATGGAGCAATATTATTTTACTATAGAAGAAATTAAAGCTGTCGGGGAAAAATGTATTCAGAAATTACTTTTAAGTTTGTCTGCCACTACAGAAATAGATATAACAGAGGTTACAGAAGAGGAACAGATTTTACAGGATAAAATAGAGACTGAGGCTGATTTGAATGTGGATTTGAAAATGGGTTTTTAGAAAACACCAGACTACAAGAGCATTATGGAAGATAATGATGTGGATTTGAAAACTGATTTAAAAATGACAGATTATAAGAGTCACATGGAAAAAGATATCACAGTAGATTTACAAATGAAACTGGCTGATGTTTTAATAACTAAAGGGGGCATACAAATAATAAATCAGAAGTGTGACTTGCATAGCTTTTTCATTTTGGATTTACAAAAGGGACCTGTTAAACTACTAAAGCTGTTCCTGAGAGGAGACAAAGAGGAAAAGATAAGAAATCAACTTGTGGGATACTATTTGTCAGAATTAAAGACCAAGTTTTTTAAAAGTAAATGGAAGGACTACAAAGTGAATTTATTCGATCAGGGTTAAAATATATATATTGTGGTTTCTGGTAGCTGTTAATGGAATTTCTTTATGACCAGGACAGAATGATGACACTTTAAAGATTTGTTTACAACTGGGGAGAGATTTCTTTTGCTTTCTCTCTCAGAGAAAGTGATAAGTTGAAACACAAAATGGATTTATTTCATTATGGTTAAATATATATATTATTATTTCTGGTAGCTGTTAATGGACTTTTGCTAAATAGAACTGAATGAGTTTTTATAATTTGTTTATTGATAAGAGATGAGTTATGGAAAGAAGGTATCTTTTTTATTATTGAAATACTAGAGAAGGTGTTAAGTTACGGGAGTTGTTTATACTTGTCTGGAAGGAGGAGAGAGTCACTGTTATATTTCTTCTTTTCTTCTTTTCTTCTTTTTTTCCTTTCTTTTCTCTCTTTGCACTTTTCATTTTCCTTGCTTTTTACATTTCTTTTAGTTTGAATTACTCTTTTAACTTTGTATTTGTAAATTTTAATAAACTTATTACAAAAAAACCACATTCCCCCATCTCTTCTCCTGCAAAACCTATCCAACAGAGTGACCAAGTCAGTTGCAGTTCCAAAACCAGGCCTAACCTGTGATCAAAAGTGGTCTAGACAATGTGTTTTGTCCACCTGGACTCTGATCAGTCACAACAGGCACCAGCCCTGCCCAAGAAGGGGATACTGGCCCCCGGCCTACAGTAATTTAGAACTTCTTTAACCAATTACAGGTTTGTCTCTCTCTCTCTCTCTCTCTCTCTCTCTAATGAGGCTGGGCCCACCCCTGTGGTGTAGGGCTTAAGGGGCTGGATCAGAACCAGAGAAATCCACATTCCTATCCATCCTCAGCCACAGAAGCTCCTTGAGTTACCCTGGGCCAGCCTGTCACCCTCAACCCAACCTAATGGTTGATGCTATTGTGGGGGAAACAGAGACTTCTTGGTGCTCTCCCATTTAAGTACTACCCAGGTCTAATTCCACCCACAACCTGGATTGGTCACATTCAGCCTAGCTGTTGTTCCCCTGGTAAAACCCACACAATTATCTTCCAGAATAAGCTCCCATAAGTCATGAACACTGGGAGCTGCTCCTTGTTCGGTCATCCTGTTAGCGTGGTGGATAGCAGCAGAGAGCAAGGCTATCAGGAAGGAGGGGGGTACGATCCAGGAAGGGAAAGGAGGCAAAAGACAACACAGTCCGGAGATGGGGTATGAGAAGCAAAAGAGGTTCAGGATAGCCACTCCCTGGAATCTCCTAGGCTAGATCCACCAGTTGCAGTGGGGTAGATTGAGACTGGCAAGATTCTGTCTATGTGGTGTGAGGAGATAAAGGAACTGAACTCAACTGGACTGTTTCACTGTGGTTCTTGGGCTTGGCCTGACAGTTAATATACCTAGCCCAGTCAGGTCAGCACCAGCCATTCTTCCAGCCCACCCTGGAGATGCCAAGGATTAGAACAAGGATTTTTTCCATTCATTCTACCAGTCTGTGAAGCTTCTACATTTCAATAAGTAGGATCGATGACCCTGAATTAGCGTGTTATTTCTCACCTTAGTATCAATAGCTCTGCCTTCACAAAAGAAGCCACTTGCTCCCCTCTGCACTAAAAGAGTGCAAGGAAATAGGCAAGCATGTTCCTGCTGAGACTGCCTACTGGAAAACAGAGTTCTCAGGGAAAGCCTAACTTCAAATAACTATCATTAATTTCAGAGATTTGTTCTTTGGATCAAATGCTACCAGTCCAGGTTGCAGTCTTCCCAAAGTATGTGCCACTGCCAATGAACGCAGAAAAGTTGGGCTAGAAGGACGATGGCCTGTCTTAGATCCAAACAGCTGTTGTGGTGAGTCAAGGAAGAAGGAACCCCCACAGTTCTGCCCCCCAACCTCCCACGTTCAGAGAAGCTAATTGCTGAATGCCATTACTGACTAGGCAGTGCCAAATGTGAATCATTTCTACCCTGCATACTTCACTAGGAGTGCCCCAGTTCATAGGAGCTGGTAGGGAAACATCCCAGGTAGTTAATACCATGAATCCTGACCATCCCCTTGCCCCCCAGGCACGGCCATAGCCAATGAGGGGTCTGGGCCAGTCGCTCCCTCTCAAGCACAACCTATCTTGTGGGGTGGCTGCTGGGAGTGAAAATTGGAAATGGGAGCTCCTAAAAGCCAGAGATCTAACAAATAAATAAATAAATACAATTTCCTGTTCTGGATGTGGCTTAGTCCATCAGAAAGAACAGCTACAGTCACATGTAGCAAAAGTTTAGGCATCTATATGTTTGTTCAATGGAAACCCACGTGAACAGAAGCTGCCACAACCGCTATATGATGCCAAGTTAAATATAACACTTTTCTATAAATCTGAATACTGTAAGGCTAAAGAAGATCAGGGCACACTGTTTAGATTGGCAGGAGTGCCACATACCTCTCAGGAGAACAGCTTCCCCAGGCATGTTGAGTACTTTACAGTGATAAAATGTAAGTTATGTTGCAAAATCCAACCCTCAGTTATTTAGTGAGGTGGGTTTAAAGAAAAGCTTCCCGAGGCTTACCTGAAACTTCTTGCTGATGCACTTCTAAATATTCTAAACGAGAACTGTGCACTTGCCTTGTGCAATTTAGATATTCAGGGAAAAACCAGACGCAGAAAACCGTAGCCTAAGCTAATCTTAGCATGCCAGAATACTGGTGCTGTCTGCAAAGCAGTGGCACATGACCAATGATTTAGACCTGATTTTTAAAACTGTATTTTATAAAAGGAAACATTTCTAAACATGGAAAGTATTTCTGCTTTTCTTCATTCTCGGTAACGAGGGGTGCTGAAGGTAGCTGTTGCCAGGCAGACCAAACCAGGTGTGCCCGAGGTCCACAGATCCCTAGCAGCCAACCAGCCGAACCCTGAGCAACCTCGCAGCCAACGGAGCCCGCAGAACCAGCTGCTCCTTGAGACAGGGTGCAGAGGATATGTCCAGGTCTTCAGAGCAGGCCCCCGGGAAGCGCGTCCAGGTTTCCTGGCAGCAAACCACCGGTCTTCCCCTGATCGTGCCTTCGGGATACTTGCCTAAGTAAGAGAAGGACCAAAGGCACTTCCGCCCCCAAACAAGGAGCCCGCTACTCCCCACTTCGGCTTGCTGTACCCAGATGAGCCGGCCGTCCCACTGAATGCGGCTGTGAAGCGCCAAAAGGATTCGGGAAAAAGGCTGCCCACAGCAGCCGCGAGCCGCCTTTGACAGGTGCCAACTGGCCAGGTGAGCCCTCTCTTCCCCAAGACTTCTGTCTGCTCTGCTTTTCTGTCTACTGCAGCTTTTACACAGATCTCCTGGTCACAGAGAGAAGATTATCTGTTTTTTAGATTTTAATCCCACCTTTATCTTTGGTCAACTCAAGGTATCATACATATTCAGTGCTTCCGCCTCCTTGTGTTTCCAGGTCCAATTCGAGGGGCTGGTTGTTACATATAAAGCCCTGCATGGCAAAGGCCCTGGTTACTCGATCATGAACACACACACACGTAATGATTATTAAAAGAATTTCAAAAGGAGGATAAAACTAATACAAACTAGCATAAAGTTAGAAACAGAAAAGAAAAAGAAAGAAATCGAAGAGAAAGCTGAAAGTACAAGAAAGGAAAAAAAAGTAAAAGAAAATAGGAAAGAAAAAAGATACAAAGAAGTGGCTTCCAATCTTCTTTACAGCAGATATAAGTACAATTATAAATTTACCTCTTGCTCTATGGTTATAACTCTCTTCTTTCTATAATTATCCTGTCTAATCATCAAAACCATAAATCATAAGTTCATTTTTTTCTGTTTTACACAAAAAATCCATAAGGGGTTTCTAGTCGGCAATAAACGTTGATATTGTCCTTTCTCTGACCAAAAAACTCAATTTAGCCATCTCAGCAAGTTCCATCATTTTCACCAACCATTTCTCTATTGTGGGTAATGCAAATCTTTCCATCTTTGTGCATACAATAATCTCGCTGCAGTTATCATATACAAAAAAAAAAAAAAGTTTCATGACTTTTTTCCCAACTGTTTTGACCATCAATCCCAAAAGAAAAACCTCTGGTCTCAGTTGTATATTAATCTTTAAAATATTATAAGTCAGTGTATGTATTTGAATCCATATTTTCTATCTTTTTTACACATCCACCAAGCATAATAAAATGTCCTTTCTTGCTGTTCACATTTCCAACATAAATTTGAAATGCCTTTATACATTCTAGACAATTTCTCTGGTG